CGCAGAGAAGCCAGGGCTGTGCTTTGCGCCTCTTCTCCTGGGACGTGGGAATAGAGAGAGGAGGGGCAGCCCTGAACTGTGCGCCCCACCCGGGACCACGGAGGCAGAAGATGCTGCGGTCGGCGTGACCCAGAGGCCGCGGACTTCAGCAGCAAAGCGACCCGACTGTGGCCAGCCATCACGCTGCTGCGCCAGAGAGGAGCCGTTCGCGCTGCATGCCATCATTTCAGAGAGCGAAAGCGAGCATGCTGCCTTCTTTGCGAGCTCCCTCCGGGCGGGGGGTGGGACGCGGAAGGGAGCTCGCTAGCAACACTATTGCTTCCGCACGCACGCACGCAGGCGGAGGAGGAGGATGCGCATCGCTCTGAAACGTTCGCTCTGCACACTCACAGCTGTCGGGCACGACTGGCCGCCCATCTCAGCTGATGGGGACAGAGGGGAGAGAAAGGAGCAGCTCGACCACTCCAAGATGTGGGGCCAAGGCCAGATCACTGTAGTGATTTTTATCTTGATATTAATATTTCATCTCCCGAATTAGGACTCTGGAGCAAGGGATTAAATGCAGCTTTAGTGGGGAAAATGAGCCAAAGTGAAAAGCAGCCTAGATTTGTTCAGGCTTTGAGCACCCTCTAAAGACCAAGTGTGGTACTGCAGCCTGCTGATTTGGATACAGCATTCCGAGTTCATTTAAACCTCTTGGCTGGAGTTTGACCTATACAACAGCACCGATAAGCCAAAACCAAACGCCTAATTCCCATGCCTTGTCACGGTGGTAAAGAAGCTCCTAAGAAGCAAATTTATTTCTACGAATGTTTATGATAATAGAACTGAAAAACTAATGAGCTTTGAGCTTTCAGTTATAAAAAATGCAAATATTGGTTCACTGATGCACCCAAAATCGGCATGAAAGATTAGAATCAAAGGAAAGATGAACAAAATCAAATGCAAATAAGAGGATTCTTTTTAAAGAGTTTTTTTCCAAAGTCGATACAATAATAATAAACCTAAAGAATAATAAACACAATTTAAGCAAAAAGAAAACCAAACTGCTAAATATAAGGAAGGCAAAATCACAGTGACCGGTGAATAAAGAAAATGATTCAAGACTTTCCCACAATTACATGCAAACAAAACCAAGAAAGTAAAAGAAATCATTAAGTACCAAATATAAAATCCACAGGTTGACAAAATAACAAATAGAAAACCTAAATAAAGCAATTTCAGGGTAAAAAATGAACACAGCTCTAAAACCCCAGAGTCGCTTAAGATGATACCAGAATCAGATGGATTTGGGTGTGAATCATAGCAAAGAATTTTTAAAAAGAAGCATTCTACTTAATTCTAAGAGACAAATATTGTTCCGATCTGCAAATAAGTGAAGGATAAGGCAAAGAAAGAACTACAGACTAATATTATTAGTGAATAGCAAAACAAAAAAAAATCAATAAAATATTGACAAACAAAATACAAAGAGTATTTATTATAATCAAATGGTATGTATGTCAGGAACCCAAAGATGTTTTAAGATTATGGGGAAATATAAATAATCATATTACAATAAAAATAATTAAAACTACATGATTATATCAAAAGATTAAGTCTTTGATAAAATGAAAACCAATTTGTTTTTTTACACACACACCCCCACACACACCGGGCATTACGATGGAAAGATTTTTTTTTCCCTTAACATAACAAAGTATTTAACTAAACCAAAGATTCAACATTATGTGTGTAGCGTCATCTCCAGGACTACTTTCCATTCATGACAAGGTAGCTCACCACAAAAGGCAAGGACAACTTTCTCCTCTCAGGTTCATAGGGATAATCCTGAGCAGCTGGAGTTTTTCTGGTATTATTGCTTACAAGCCCCCATCTAGTGTGTTCTCAACCAATTATCCATTAGCCAGCGAAAGTTAAATTAGTTTTTAGGAAGACGGAGGCATAACAAAAATTGCTGGTTATAAAAGAAAAACTACCTCTCCCTCCCCCCACTCCCCACCCCCTGCAAGAGCCCAGGACACACTGTCCTATATACAAGGTCCCTGGGGACAGCGGATCCAATCTTAAGAGGGCACAAGGATTAGCACCGTGCCTGGCACATAGTAGGTGCTTAATAAATGCTAGTTGACTGGCATGTGGCAAAAGTAACAGGAAGCTCCCTCTCTCCCTTTGTGGGGGACTCATGAAGTTCCCCTTCAGAACATAACTCTCTACTGGGCTCCTGCGGTCAGTGTCCTCATCGAGTCCTGAATGTGACTCGCTTCCAACGCAGACGACGTTATCAACTGAGCAACACTACTGCTCCAAGGATGCCAATAGCAATGCCGACTGGAAGTCCGAATCTTCCAAGCCTTCTGCTGTTGACAAGATCATTCTCTGGTCTGTTGGGGAAGGGGAGGAGAACGTGACACCCCCTCTGGGTTCACTCCAACCCCCTTGCTGCTCCGTGGTACAGGCTCAGGGCATCTGCCTTCTTGAGACCCTCTTGACGTTGTACTGCCCATTCCCTGCTAAAGAGGCCCAGGGGTGTGTCTCGTCCTCCAATCATTTCCAACGCTTTTCCTGTGTGTTACCATATGATTTCATCCAAAGACAAAAACACTTCCCAAATTCAGCACCAAATTCCGGATTTGTTCACACTTTATTTACACTTTTGTAATTCAATGGAGAGAAACAGGCCTTCCTCTAATACACTGAGATAGTGACGAAATCCCCTTATACATGTAATGAGGAAGTCTAGAACATTTCCCTGCTCACTGTTACTACTCAACACAGTCCTAAAGACCCTAGTGGTAGCAATAACCAAAGAGAAAGGAAATTAAAGGAATAAGCATTGGTAAATATCGTTATGGAAAACAAGATGGTTTATTTATAAAACCCAAGAGAATCAAAACAAAAACACTTGACCAAAATAGACGAGCCCACAAAAATCAGCCATGAAAATGAAGGAAAAAAGGTGATAAAAAGAATAAAATCACTTAAAATAATGGCAAATGAACTACGTGTATGTGTGTGTGTGAATGATACTACCAAGATACATACAAGACTTACAAGATCAGCTACAAAACAATTTTTGCAGAAACAAATGCAAAGATATTCAATGCCCATGGAGGTGAGTCAATAAAGATGATAATACCTCCCAAATTAATTCATATATTTTATAATACACCAATGAAAACATTTACGGAATGCTCTGTGGAATTAGAACAAATGATGAAATTTCCATTGAAGAACAAAAGGTCAAGATTAAGGGAAAATACAAAAAAGAAAAAGAACTTTTGTACTCTCTCATACTATAAAACAGTAATTATCAAAACCATCTAGTTTGGGATAAAAAGTCAACAAATGGACCAATAAATTATATATAATAATGAGTCCAATAACCAGATAAACATTGTAGTCTAGCATTTGATAAACCCAGGATTACCGGGCAAACACTAGGGAAAGTATTCATCCTTCAACAAGAATTGTTGTGATAATCAGATAGCAGTTTGGTAAAAAATGGGCACAGAGCAGCATGTTACACCATGCACCAAAATAAATCCTAAATGGACTACACTAAATAAAAATTAAGACATATCATTTAAAAAGATAATATAAAGATAAATATTGCATTTCTTAACTGCAGAGAAATGATAAATGCCTAATAATTTGTGGCTTTCAGGATATCATAAAACAAAGTGGATTCATTTAATTATATAAAAATTAAAAAGTTTTCTATAGCAAAAAGCAACGTATTTAGCAGCTAATCCAATATTCCCGGCAGTTAAGTCCTTACTTCCGCTCCTCAAATCTCCCACAACTGTACATGCTACTCCCATATACCCATAATGGTGGCAATAAGTCAACTCACCTCCAAGCAGCTCAATGGTAACCTTTGCCATAGCACTGTTTCACCACCTTTCTGCTCTCAGTCTCACCATCATTCATGGGAAGGTTACTGACGGCTGCTTTCCACACACTCTGCTCTCTTTTCTTTCTCACAAATATACACTAGGTCGCTATTATTCCCATGCTAACTTTGAAGATGAGGTCACTCTGGTCCCCTATGGCAACCTTCAATAATGCACATCAATAAAGCTCTATAATACAGCCTCAGTCAAGAAGCAAGGCACAGAAACCATATGAGACTTTTTTTTTTATCTCACGCGACCTTCAATCTAACTCTGCACTCAGGAGCAAAACTAGAAACATAAAATATTATCAGTTGTAGTGCACCCACATCATCCCTCAACATAAATATTATCTGAAAATGATGCTAATGAACAAAAAAACAGAGAGCAGCTAACAGTAGGGGGCAGTATGGTACAATGAGGGCACTGGCTCTAGCATTGGAAGATCTGGGTTCAGATTCCTCCTCGGCAGCGTCCTAGGTAGTACAACCTTGAAAAAGTCACCTAACCGTCTCACTGAGTTTCTGTTTATCTGTAAAATCAGGGGATCAGACTAGATGGCTTTTGAGGTCCCTTCCAGCTCTAGAACTATGACATGATGACAGAATTTATTTGAGATTCTTTATTCTTTGAAAAATTCTCAGAAAACAACTCTGAATTCTTCCAAGAAATTACGTAATGCAATGACATCGTACTATCTCTTGAAATTCCAGGGCTCCCAGAAGATTAAATGAATAATGAGGCAAACCAGAAAGCCAAAAGTCAAGGGAAGAAGACTGTATATTAAAAATTACAGTAAAAATACAAGTTGAACTTTTATAAACTAAAACTAATTGTTAGATTTGTGGTTATCCTCCTAAAGAAAAGAGTTCTTAACCTGGGGCTTGTGAACTTTTTAAAAAATACTTTGATGATAACTAATTTTCAATATAAATTATTTCTTTAGTAATTCTATGTAATTTTTTTGCACTTATAAACATTATTCTGAGAGAGTGCCGAAGGAGGATGTGATACAAAGAAGGTTAAAAGAAGCCCCGCCCTAAGGGAAAGTGATCATGTAAGGGAATAGATGTGATTATGGAGAGTTCAGAATTCTTTTCTTACCTGGATTCTACTTCTGATGATTTAGCAGACAAGACATTATTCTTCTTCTTGGACCTAGAGGTTAATTCCACTGTGGAGAGAGAAAGGGAAAAGGAAAGAGAGAGGGAAAGGAGAAGGAGGAGGAGGAGGAGAGAGGGGGAGGGGAGAAAAGGGAAGGGGGAAAGAGGGAGGAAAAGAGAGGAAGGGAGAGGAGGAGGAGGAAAAGGAGAGAGGGGGAGGGGAGGGAAAAGAAGAAAAGGAGAAGAGGAGAGGGGAAGGAGGGGGGAGGGAGAAAGGAGAGAGGGAGAGACCTGTATTAGGCATCAGAGAAGTACAGATGACAATGCTCTCCAGGTGATGCTTTTTTGGGGGGTGGTCAAATCTAATCTCCCACTTAATTACATCAGACTGAAATGATGTTTCTGTGCGCATCACTCAGACGTTTGTGATTTCTACAAAACAGCTCCTAGCCCTTTTGTAACTGCCTTTAAAAAAAAATGTTTGATGGATACTCTTGTTTCTACATCACCTTCATTTTCAAATACATTTCTCTCCTCTCCATTCAGAGAACCACCCCCGGTAAAAAATTAAAATTAAAATTAAAAAACCTATCACATTTTCTATAAAATAGCCACAAAACTTTAGGATTACTTCTTTTTAACATAACTTAACATTTTTTCTGAACAACATTTTCTGAGCCATAGAATGAATGAAACCAGCACTTAGCACCGAACTGGCACAAAGCTGGCCCTTAACAAAGGTTTTTTGATAAAATCACAGACAGTCAGAGTTGAAAGGATTCCAGAATTCCAGGCCTCGGGGCAGTCAGCTGATCTGGTGGACTCCTTGGAATCAACAAGGCCCAAGTTCAAATCTGGCCTCAACACTCCCTCCCCGTACACCCCTGAGCCTCAGTCTCATCTGTGAATCAGAGATTATAACAGCACTTACCCTACAGGGCTGCCATGATGATTAAAGGAGACAGTCTTTGTAAAGTGGTTTGCAAACCCTAACGCACTGTACAAATGCCAGCTATCATCATTATTATTAAATCCAATTTTTACAACTCATTTTACAGCTGAAACAACTGAAGCCCGAGAGGCTAAGTGACTTAAAGTCCAGCTGGAAATATCAAGGAAGGATTTGAACCCAAGTCTTCCTGGCTTCTTCAAATCCAGTCCCTTCTCATTCACCAGTCCAGGCTACTTCCCAGAGAGAAAGTAATTCCTCTTCACTGTTCTTGCTGCTAACAGGCTGAGAAATTAGAACCAAATCAAAAATCACCCTCCTTGAGAACAGATCTGCATCCTATCTTTGTAGCCATAATGCCTTACTCACAGTATTTCAATCAATAAATGTTTATTAAGCACCTACTATGTGCCAGGCACCGTGCTAAGCACTGGGGACACAGACACGCACAAAAAAAAAAAAAAAAGGCAGAAGACGGTCCCTGCCCTGCAGGAGCCAACAATTCAAAGGGAGAGACAACAAGCAAACAGACGTTTGCATAAACAGGATAAATAGGGCCATTCACAGGGAGAAGGCACCGTGTGCCTTGGGTGCCCTGGAAGGCAGAACAGCACCCTGGACTGAAGGCCAGAAGAGCCAAAGCAGGGTCCCAGATCCACCGCACGTGAAGGCACCGACATGAACACGGCCAAGCAGGAAAAGGAAGGGAGAGCACTCTCACAGCCCTCTTTAAATTCCCAGGGACCTAGCTGGCACCTCGGATCTTTGGGAGGAAAGAAGAAAGTAACAGAGCAGAATTATACAAGAGCGCTGCACTTCTCCAACGTGGTGCCAGGAGTAAGGCAGCCCAGAATCTGCTGAAGTTAGGAATGCCAAGGACAGGGGAAGGCACCAGGATGCCCTGGAGAGGGCACAGACTCTGGTGTCCGAGGAGGTGGGTTCAAGTCCTGGGCGACCTGGTGCAAGTCACGGCCCCTCTCTGGGCTTCAGTCCCTTTAATGAAATAAATGGCTAGACAGACCTCTGAGGTTCCTTCCACCCCTAAACCCATCCTAATTAAAAGGCATTTTGTTTTTTAGTCTGTGAGGGGAAGGAATAAGATCAAACCAGAGACGGTCAGATGGCAGGAAGAAGGCAGAACTGCTCAAATTCTCAGAAATCCCTCCTGAGGAAACGAAAAGGCCTACGGTGATCACAGACGGCACAGCTGTACTGTCTGCAGTAAAGCATCGCCTACCCTTTCTGTGTCAGGCACCACGAAAGCCCCAGGGCCTTGGGCTCACTCTCTGACTGGGCTCTGCAAATGACCAAGCCCTCTGATTAAAAGAAGAAGCACCTGACCTGACATAGCCCTTAACTCTCCCTATCAGCTACAATCGATCCCTCAGAGAACAAGGGTTCAAACAGCCCCATCTCTTAAAAATGCTTCCCAGTACCCTCTGGAAGAAGCAATCCAGGGACTCAGGAACTTGTAGTCTAAAAACTGATGTTATATATTCCTCTCAGCCTGAGGGTCCAAGGATGGTGCTCTGGGTGGGGGGAAAGGGAGGAGAGAAGAGCGGGAAGAGGGGAGGGAAGAGGGGGGAGTTAGTCCCAGCTGCCTCAGGTCTCTAACATGACTTCCTTGCTTACAACAGTCAGAGCCGGTATAGAGGGGATGTCGGCAGTTGATACACACCTTCCCAGGTCCACCAATATTCTGGCCCATGACAGAAGGGAAATGGAATTTAGCGGAAGGAGCACTGGTTTTAAAATCACAGGCACTGATTCGCAGCATTGTCGGGCCTCAGCTTCCTCTTCTGTAAGATGAGGGCATTCAATTAGATTGTCTCTGAGACCCCTCCCTACTCTAGGCCTGTGAGCCTAGGCCCAGAGAGGTGGCTTCTGAGTGCCCTTCTTGATCCTAACCTCTGCCAAGGAGAACCATCTTCAGAATGGGGGAGAAAATAAAAATAATTACTAGGGAGTTGAAGCACAAGCAAAGCAAGCTGATAGAAAGACAGCCGGGTGCATTAAATCACCAAGGCAGATGAAATACATCACAATGCACGGAAAGAACTTGGGAGGAGGGGGAATCGATGAGTCAACACCTGTGCCCTCTGAACAACTGCAGACAATGGAAGAGGTGAGAGGCAAGACTGGAGAAGGGTGAGTGTCGTCCCAGTTTTCAAAGAAGAGAGAGGCTGGGAAATCTGACTTTGATTCCAGGGCCAAGTCCAGACATATTATTAAAGGGATGGTTTGTGATTCTTTGGAAAGGGAAGTGACGATCGCTAGGAGCAAAACAAAGTAGCAGGCTAAATGCACATCCTTTTCTGACGGTGTTACTCAAGCAGTAAAGCAGAGAAATGTTATGAACTTAATTCAACAATTTTCAGTACCTTTGCAAAGTCTTCGGGGCTATCCTTGTCAGACCAAATTGAGAAAGGAGGGCTAGATAATAGTGGTTAGGTAGGCTCAGAATTAGTTTAATGACCACACTCAAAGACTGATCATTAAGGGGTCTTCATCATCTTAAAGGGAATTGTCCTTAGTTCTATACTATTTAACATTGATAAAGGTATAGACACCAAATGCAGGTTATATGAACCTTGCAGATTGGTGCATTAGGCAACAGAATCAGAATTCAGAAAAATCTCAGCAGATTAGAGAAACGGACCAAGTTATATGTGATTTAACTTAAAGCTATTATTTGGATGGAGTTGACACTGTAGGAGTAATTATGCCTTCAGTCTCATATCCCCAAACCAGATAAGGCCCAGGTCACATAAAGCATTGGTGAAGTGGACCAAAGCGGGACTTGCACTCTTCCTGTGGGAATATCCATGTGTTCTGTATACTATTCAATAAACCGTTGAAAAAAATTAATAGAACTAAAGTAGTTCTCCATGTGGATTCAAAACATTGGTCTTACAAGGAGAGGATGAGGGAGATGGGGCCTTTGACTGAATCTAAGATTTGGCACTCGAGGACCACATGGGGCCTTGAGGCTGCAGGTTCCCCACCCCTGGTCTGGACAATGGTTCAAGTGAGCAAGCCCAAAAGAATCCAACAGCATGGCAACAGAATTAATGCCATCTTAGCCAGGACTGAGCAAGCCATGTAGAATTAGATGACTTAGCATTCCCCTGAACTCTCTCCCAGTCAGACCGGATCTGGAGAACAATTCATGGAGTGGTGGGCACCACATTTTAGTAAGGGTGTTGACAGATTGGGACACTTCCAGAGGAAGGCAACCAGAAACTAGGTGGCCTTTCCAGCCTTAAAAGGGCAGGACTTGATATTACAAAATGAAGAGTCATTTAAGACCGGCAGGGGATGTGGTTACAACAAATCCCTGGCTAACAAGCCTTAGGCATAAAAGAATTAGGATTGCCCAGGAAGCCAAAGACCTCCAGAGCATTATCATTAAGTAATCAATCCAAGGTCAGCTGGGTTTTTCAAGGCAAGAATTAGGCTCATTTTTTAGGACCAACTGAGCCAATTAGATTGGGATGGCCCTTACAGCTGCCTGAAACATTATTATTATTCTAATTCCTTGTAATCTTTTTTCTTCTGTTATGCAGTTTGGTTTCCAAGGTAAGACATCTGTTTCTTTGGGAATGGGTATTTTTCACCTGGGAGTCAATTTCTGTTTAGCAAGCATGAAAGCAAAAGAAAGAAAATGTATTCAAAGGCATGAAGATGTCATCTTCTGGTTTACAAATTAATTATGTGTTTGTGAAGCCTTTTCCACCTCTCCTCCTTCACTCAGTACAGTTTTAGCATTCCCAGATGATGTCAACTTCCCCTGGGGTAGAATGGCCCTGCCAAGAACTAACTGCAGTCCCTCGGACATTGGGATTAATGAATTCCAGTCCACTAGGAAAGGCTCTGGATCCAGATAGAAGACGGATGGCTTCTGCAATGAAGCTCAGATGGAAAGATAAATACCAGGGAAAAGTACCTCCCAGAATCAGGCTGCCAAGCTGGTGTCCTCTAGATTTACTGACTTCACACAGAGCTGAGCCAGCCTGGGACTCAGAATAAGGTGCAGAAGTTGAGTTATGCCACGCCAGTGAGTCACTGAAGCCTAGAGGCATGCAGGTGCTGGTTCCCAGAGCTCAGAGCTAACTGTGATAC